TTGGCTCTTTCGGAGGGTACACACATTTTGCGGTAAACCTACCGCTTCACCAGAAAACGACGACAAAAATAAAAACGCAAAAAATACGAACTTATGGAACGACCTAATTAAACTTACCAGAAGAATCGAAGTTAGCATTGCTAAAGCCGTTTGTTAGCTATGCTTTTCGGCTGCTTATATGAGAAAACGAGACGCCAATTGTCATTTCAACACGGCAACGCTTTTTTATTGTAAATATTTTTCTGAATATACGCAATTTACTTATAAAAATGCCATTATAAGACCTTCGTACGTTTCCGAAATCTAAATTGCGTATTCAAAATGTTCAAAAATCAGCCAGTTAGCCAGCCGGTAGTTACCGGTAATTACCTTGGGACAAGAGGCAGAGACTGACGCAAAGCATTTTGATTATGATGTGCCTTCTGACACTTGATCTCAATAGTTTTCATACGGGCTCGAGATCACTGGGCGCTTACAAGGATAAATAATGAGACACAAGAAAAGAGCATTTAAAGGTTTTGCATCTTTGATTTCGATTAATACCTGCTGCATGACGAAGGCGGTTGCCCAAATAGGTTGAAGGTTGTTGCGCACGCGGTGCGCGGGCAATTGTCAGCCACGGGGCGCGCGCACGCTCCAGTGGATGACCGCTGACCGAGCGTGTGCGCGCTGCGTAACAGCCTTCAACCTATTTGGGCAACCGCCTTCGTCATGCAGCAGATATACGCTTTATTATCGATCGATGTCCCTCGGAAGTTTTGGCCGCTTATATACTAATTCCTTGACAAAAGGCCAGTGCAGGTTGAAAGCCCACGTTACAATGGCGATAATTAGGACCCACGCGAGGTGCACTGTAAATTTTGAAACACAAGTAGATTAAATGCTCTCTTATCTTCAAACCTGGGCATCTTGTAAAATGTTAGTAACATGCCGTGTTATGCCAAACCAGGTTTGTTGGTGGATCTCTTTATTAGATCTGACGGTTACGACTGTCTCGTATACACCGAACTCAACTTGAGAATGACGTTATACTTGTTGACATCCCGATTGATAATTTGAAAAAGCAGTTAGTTCGGAATAGGCTATACGATAACGAATGCGTCCTAAGCAATGCATTGTCTGTCCGTATCGAAAGTTGGGAAACTGTGCAAAGGCAGGTGTAGTATACCAGTTAGAGTGTCTCAGCTGTCACGAGTGCTACGTAGGAGAGACGGGTAGAATGTTAGGTATAAGGCTAAAAGAACACCTAGCAGGATTAAGACGAGGAGTATTAATGACATCTTTGGGGCGACACAAAACTGAGAGGCACGGTGGAAATGACTATATCGTAAAATGCACTATATTATCGTATGAGACTGAGATATGCGCAAGAAAATGTCTTAAAGGAGCGTGGATTTTTGCGAGGAACCCAAAAATGAATGTCAAAAATGAATGTGTATAGATTAGCAGTGATCTTCTGCCGTATTATCTACCCTTATGTCATCTAACAGACTCACATAAAAGTATTGACTCACTGGGTGACACTCAGTGACATCCGTTACTAAGTAGCTGTGCGGACTTACTGGAATGCGGTGGACTCAAGGTCGGCTCGTTTCCTAACCTCCATGGTCTCGTGTTGCTAGCCTCTGACTAGGTCTAGACTGGCAAAACGTGAGAGAATTCTCTTGGTGGTATATTGTCCAGACTAAGATAAACCTATGATCTTCGTTCAGACGAAGACGAGACAGTCGAAACCGTCAGGTCTAATAAAGAGATCCACCAACAAACCTAGTTTGGCATAACACGGCATGTTACTAACACTTTTGTAAACACACTCCCTTTGACAACGCGAGAGCTTACGAAATTTTGCTTGTAGAAGTGAGGCTAAAAATCTGCAGCGAACGATGAGTGGACGTAAGCGAAGAGAAGGTAAGGAAAATTGAAGATAGAAGAGCACGAAAGAGACGGCATAATGTAGGGCCGTAGAAAAAGGGGGACGAAACTTTGACTATGGTGAGTGCTCATAGGTGGAGCTTGAACTTAAGAATAGATTTATGCAAATGTTTCGGAAATTCTGTAGGGGAGAAGAACTGTGACTTTGCTTGGTGCTACCAGGTTTTGCGGGAGCAATCCAAAATTAAGAACACAGCTCATATGATATCAGCATCGGCATCTCGAAGGCACACCGATTTTGGTGGCCATTATTGTTAATGCATTTCATATAGACTGGTTCTTCACCTACTTGTGATTGTGATTTGGTTGAAATTGTGTGTACACAGTCTCATGCACTGATCGCTTTTGTAACGTGTTAATTACCACTTATGAATAGAATAACCAAAGCTTCAAATTTGGTTTTACTACTTGCAAAAATAGAGGGCTGGCTAGTATTCTGCCAGAATTCGGCTAATATTCTGCCAGAATTCGGGAATTACCCTTTAAAGGCAGACTCCAGGCAAATCTGGACATATGGGGATCTCACGTGGACAGTAATTTTTGGACCCTAACTAAGACACTGCCCAAACGGCAGTTCAGATGGTGTTCTGACATCTGAGATATTCGCCTCCAAACTGGACCCCAAAATCGTATTTCGCATGGTTTCATGGCGCGATACGTCGGTTTCGCGTGGAAGCATGCAAACCCGATGCAAGTTGCCCGATAATACGATCCTGGGATCCATTTTGCGGGCGTATATCTCAGCCTTTGGTGAGTCATTTGCGCTGCCGCTTGGCGCTGCCTTAGTTAGGGCCCCAAAATCATTTTCCACTAAGATCCTCATACGTCCACATTTGTCTGGGCGCTGCCTTTGAAACTACGCGGCCCACTCTTGCCTTCCCTTCATGAAGGAACGTCCAGAGTGAAAGCAATGTCAATTTTGAGAAAAAGCTTATAACATTTTGTATCAGAAATTCTGCAAATCGGACAGAAATTAGGAACACCTTCTGCCTACCTTCAAGTACCATTTTGCTAAGTTGACTTCAACTTGTGTTCACAATTTGAAGCATACCCTCGATACATAGAGCCACGTACTCTGGTAACCTTCACTTTGAGGGCTATGAGGGGACACAACCTTCACGTGAAAAAAAAAACAGAAGTCATGCGGGGCTTCGCCCTGGATGTTATTATCCTGACTATATCGGAACGAATATTAGTGAAGCAAATATAGGGAATAATATCTTTAGCTTATTTCAGCGAAACCGAGAATTTGCGTTTTCATAGACTTTTTTACCTTAAAAATAAGGTTTCTGTGGAATCTTCGCCAGTATTCAAGACGAAATTTCTCAGTTATCCTCTCATTTGAATAAAATCGAGTTTCAGAAGTTCAGGAAAGCTATTGGAATTAAATATTATAAAAACGAGAACTGCGCTTAAGTCTTGCGCAGGGAGTCGCGCACGAAAACGCTGGTCTATCTCGTTAATGAGTGATTTTCAAAGCTTGGGACGTTGTCAGTTCTCCTCGTCGTGTCATGACGATCAGAATGATACATAATGTTGCAAGGTTTCGTTGAGACTCCGCGGAGATCCACTACCAGAGCCAAATGCCCCGTCGGCTCTGATCTGTCTCCGCTGCCTCGCTACCCCAAACCCGGGGCGCGGGGCATTTGGCTCTGGTACCCATTTTTTCTCTGTTTCTAACACAATTTTAGCAAGCTACATGTCATTTTGAAGCTCTTGATCTCTATTTTTACGCTCCCAAAACCACATTTTTTGATTTGATCGAGAAAACCGGCAAAAACCTTGTGTTCGAAAATCTCTTGTTCTTCTCTTAGTTCAGCTATTTTCACGCGGTTTTTTCGTGCATTCTATAGATTTTGCTTCTGTTCATAATGCAGACAACCACCCAGCCCTTATCTCTTCGATTATGGTGAAATTTTTTGGGAAAAATCGTAAAAACTGCGTTTTTCTTTACCTTGTTCTGTTTCAGTGCTTTCGCATCGATTTTTTTCCAGCTTGCGCGATTATTGCTCAGAACAATAAGCGCAACAATCCAGACAACGTCCCAGGAAACAGGAACTTCATGCGGGGGTACAGTCTGCTCCAATAGGATCAGGCCGAACCGCCGGCGTAAATTTGCGCGCTCGCAGCGCTAGCGGTCTGCGCTGCATATGCGCGCCGTCGGAGAGAGCAAAAGGACTAAGGAGAGGGCAGAGAAGCAGGCCGTGGGCGTGACCGCGAAACCCCACCGACGCGGATTCCCGCCATGCCAATTTTGGCCTGGTTGGGATTGGGGCAGACTGTAAAAATTTAAAGGACGCATCAATAATCAAACCCCGTGTTGCGAATTACTGGTCCTGGAGCGAAAACTTGCACTTCGAAAAGTCGCCAAATGAAAGATTTCAGACCTCTTTGCAGCGTTTTCATCCAGTTTCTTTTGCTTTTTATATCTGTTTTACGTCATATTCTCTTCTCTGATCTTCTTTAAACAACCTTCACTATTTATGACGTCAGATTTTCAAACAACCTTCACTTTTGACGCCCTGTCTCTAGACTACCGAAGGTATGATTTGAAGCTAATGCTCGCTGCTTTTCTACTCAGGATTGCGACAGAGACTTTTATCTTTTCACTAAAGGACTAACTTGGTTATGTGCAAATTTTATATTTATATTCAGCGACTCTAACTAGTCTAATGCAAGTGTTTCCAAGTTGTTTCGTTCTTTTCTGAAGTAAAATATAGTTTTTTTTTAGATTATAGGTTAAGTGTAATTTGAGTTATAGCTCATGAAAAGCTTTAAAAAAATGCAGAGCAAAAAACGATATTGCTCGAAACAAATGAGGCGCGCCTATCCGTTCCTTCATTCTCCATAATAGCATGTTCAAGTGTTAAAATGTTGCACTTCTGGTTATAGCCATCCAGTGGCACAGAATTATGAATTGATTTTGGTGTCTGGGGGTAGTGATAAGTCCTACGGTTTGAATGACCTCACATGTCGTTTGTACGAGTCAGTCCCAAATAATCGTTGCAATGCAAGAGGAAGCCCAAGCAAAGTTTATTATCATTTATTTTTTAAGCTTCAAAGCCATAAAAAATATCGGTTTGGTGTTACAAAACTTGAGCTGAAATGGCATCTTAGTTGCAAAGTACACCATCGTAGCATCCGCTTTCACATTGAGTGCACGGTGTTCCTGTGGTATAAACATGGTCGTCAAGAACGTTACCCCTGCAACAGCAGAATAAAGCCCTTTAGACCTAAAAAGGGTTAAACTTACTTTGGCGAGTAACGACACACAACAAAGTAGAAAAGGCCAAAGCAGTTTTTGATACCACAGCCAATTTTGTTTGACTTTGCCCAGACCATCTGATACTACTGAGCTTAGTTTTACGGCAGCCTAATTATATTTTTCGTAATTACCTGTGACCATCTCAAGGGTGAAAGTGGCTTGTCCCTAAAATAAGTAATGAAGTGTGTTTCTTTATTCATGCCATTCCTCAAAATTTCCGTAAACCACTGATCGGCTGCCTGAAATATGATAGATGTACAAAACTCTTAAAATAGTCTCCTACATTTAGGTGTGTACCTTATGCAGAAGTCTAATTTCACAGTGTAAGAACTTGTTTGTCTTGAAAAAAATTTCAAAACTATCGAATCTCTTTGAGATCCTTTCTTTCGGGTAGGTAGATACTTTCCTCACCTTCACTTTTAGCTGACAACACAATCGGGAAAACTCCCTCAGGAAGCTCCAGATTGAATTTTACATAAACGTTACAATAGCTTCCATCACTGGTTTTTAACGTTGGACTACCGTCATAGGAGACACTACCAAACGTCTTGACAAACTGTGAAATGGAAAAGTACCTGGACAGACCGAGAAAGTTTGCAGAAAAAAAGGGAAATTCAAGTCGTAAACATGTGGCTGTCTGTGCATTTGCATTCATCATTAGATAAAGAGCCCGTTTATTCCTTATAGAGCAAATTTGAGATACGGGAAAAAGCTAAATTTTTATTCATCAGATAGGAACATTGCGACAGCAATCTTAAGCCATTAATGCATTCAAAATAAGCCATGAATCTGTTGCATTTGGCTGTCAGATCACCGTACAATCGAGTAGATTTTCCGCTTAATATAGTGTGCTTGCGCAGTCTATGAAATGCGATAAATTTTGCGCGTGAACAGGTAGCTGCGCCAGCACTGCCGGCATTTTGCGCGCGCAATTGGCCGGCGTCGGAGCCATTTCCTCACGAGCAAATTTTACCGCATTTCACCTTCTGTGCAAGTACACTATAATAAGCAGAAAATCTCGACTGTACACTATCTGACAATCATTGAAAAGATCTTTCTTAGCGTACCACTGCTTCAACGTATGTAAACGTATGTAAATTATCTCGAGAAAAACTCACATTGGCCAAGAGTTGTCCATTAGTATATGTAGCACCGCTGGGTTCAATCACGGCTATATTCTCACCATATGTTGGACGCTTAGCTTCAGGAGTTTGTGTTAGTGTGCACGACTCAGCCACGGTTTGAGCATCAGTCTCCAGATCACAATCGTAGTCCTAAAAAGTGGACATATAACTATGCGACCTCACATGCGGAAAAATACCATTTTTCTCATATTTTTCGCTTGCAGTAGTTTGCCGCTGATTCCATTATTGACAATTCCTTGGGCTACTTCTCTTCTGGAAAAAGCACCATCAGTTTGAATATGACTATAACAACAGTTCCATTTGCAACTTCAAAGAGTGCGGGTCCAACTGAGAAAGAGAGTGAAAGCTAGTCATCATGTTAATGACCGTATAAAAGATAAAGATTCTCTTTATTCACACTGTTAAAGTCACTCCCTTTAGTAAGCAAAACGACATAGAGCTTTGCCTTTAACGCTTGTAGTAGAGATAAAATCTTACTTAACCCCATTTCTTTCAACCTCAACCACTTTCCTCCTTCCATTATACAGGGTGTCCGTAAAGTATGTATACACTGTTTCATCGTTAATATCTCTTTTCCCAAGAAGTCTTTTGCCTTGCTTTAGGTACCATTTTGAAGAGCTGGCTTCAACTTAGATTTGCAATAGGACGAATCACCCTCATTACTGTAGGATTACGGTAGAAACTTGAAACGTATGGTGTCAATGTGGAAAAAGCTGCTGTTTCAAAATTTTTCAAAAAAAAATGTGAAAACTTGTGTAATAGGGGACGTTTCTAGTACTCAACTATTTACAAGATTGCGAAGCTTTCTAAACGGTGTAATCGCACTTTTTAAAAACATTGAAAGAATGGCCGCTACCTCTTACGTGGCATGACTCTTCAATGAAGCATCATATTAAGTTGGAACTTTACAGTTAAAATCAGCAACTCTAAATAGCCTAGTGTAAAAGTTTTCAGGCTGTTTTGTTTCCTTTCTGAAGCAAAATATGGCCTTTTATGGCTCAAAACCCTCTTTGAAGTTTCCACCGTAATCCTGCAGTAATGAAGTGAGATGGGTGATTCGTTCTATACTGAAATCTAAACTGAAGCCAGCTTTACAAAGTGGTACCTAAAGCAAGGCAAAAGACTTCTTGGAAAAGAGTTATTGACGATCAAACAGTGTATGCATACTTTACGGACACACTTTGCCAGAAATAATGCTGTAAAAATTTGATTTCTCGAAACCAACCTTCTCATATTATGAAGTGCCACCATCAACATTCGTTCGCCTGCTGCAAGTGCAGTTCCGGAGCAGCTGTATTCTGCAAAACAAAGCTTTGTCTAAGTTGATGATTTCAATAGCATGTAGGATGAACATACGAGCTCTTGCAACTTGATGCAGACCCATGCACAGGAGTCCCTGAAAAGATTTTTCAGTGTTAGCTGCAAGAATTTATCTCTCTCAAGGGTCAAAGGCACTTTTTGTAATACTCGGTACTTTATCTCCTGACAACCTTGGCAACGTTAACTTAAACTTAACTCAAGATTACCTCTTGAAAACTTTGTTTAGTGTTTTTCGTGCGTTTGTACAATATTGAAGAAAAGAATTTCTCCTGATAAAGTTCAGCGTTACTGTTCAGAAAAAAACGAACAACAAAAAAATTTGCAGAGATTATGGCCGCATAAAACTTATGCAATAATTAGATTGTGAACAAAGTCGGTGCTATCATGACCTATTGGTGCGTTGCGCCTCCTATTGGTGCTGCCAGATAGGGCAGGGCCCACCTATACGGCACAAACTTCCCCCTGGAAGTTTTAGAAGCTCAGTTTACCCCCAACGTCATTTGCGATTGTTTGAGAATTGGTATCATATGATTACCACATTTTTCGCACGCAAGAAAACTTCGCACATTTTTTCAGAAGTGTAATAATTTGGCAGTAATATTCCGTGTCAAAGAAACCGTTACCTTATGTTAGGTTGTGTAGTAGGTTCTGTCCTATTTTTTCTTTCCATTTTTTCTCAACAATTTGGAAGGTGTTTGTCAAAACGCATAAATGTATCTCAAAGCTCTAAGCCTGCTCTCCCAAACGCTACCGCTTCAGTTTCCTACATGAAAAGAATTGAAAGAGTTCGACATTAAGTTTGGAAAACCAACGAAGAAAAAATCCGTCTACAAAATGGCTCGAAAATCTGCTGCGCCTAAGGAAAGAATACCATGAGTTTTGCAGCGCTCCAGAAGCGCCTCAGATGTTTCGAATCGCATTTCGAAATCTCGAGTATAGCTCTGAGCTTAATCTAGAACAGAGATTTTGATAATTCAAAGCGAAGAATTCGTGAATTTGAAAGTGAAACATATTTTAGAAATTGAAGGAAAAGCTGCATCGGATATTACCTGGTTTGCTATTCTCAAACTTTACGCGGTATGAAGTATCCAAGCATATAGTTCGACTACCTCAAAAAAACTAGTTCCACCAGCTAGCGATCTTTAAAAAATATCTGCTAATTTGCACTTTGTTTTCATCTAATTTGACCAAAACTCTTCCAAAAGTTTAGAACAACAAAAACCCAAAAACTGCCAATCTCGGAGGGGTTGAAAACCATGGGCAAATTTTCGGGTGATTATTTTAATGACCACAAAAATAATCAGATCACAGGTCGAAAAGAGGTAGAAAATCTACGTCGGACAGGCCTTAAAACGTTTGCCTGACTTTAATCCAAGTGTTTTTACATGATGTGATTGAATCGGATACAACTTTTGGAACGACCCAGTACATACCGCGAAATTTCTCATTTCAACGCTCAAAAAATTTCTAAGAAGTTACGAAACTTACCAGTAGAAACAAAGCAGACATTTCAGAGCTGTTTGTTGGAGACACCCTTAGGACTGCTTTTATAGAAGCAAAGGGGTTATACTCGCTATTCACAGTGCATTTAGATGTAAATTTTTCTGATCGGGAATTATACATGAACCTCTGATGTGTATTGATGCAAAATGAATGTTTCTCATATGAGTCCTTTTCTGAAATATCTGCCCATTGTTTGCGATCTGCAAGGAAATTATTCGTGCATAGAATTTCATTTGAATCATACCACTGTACCCACTTTTGGGGTTTTTATATCATAACTCAGATGGAAGAATCAGTGTCAATATATGCGATAAATTAAATCCACCAAATAATTGCGCCTAATGAAGAACACACAAAAAAAACAGTACATTCGTAGGAAATTCGAAGGCGCCAAGATCCAACACATTCACAACAAGACTGATTTTTCGATTACTGCCGCATGGATCAAAGCCTTTTTTCGTCAAAATTCGCCTTTCTGTCAAGTTCACTACCCACATGTGGGTCGTATTGCCCGAAATGGTAGTCTTTTTTGGAAAAAAATCAAAACATGTCTCGAAGAATTTTCCTAGAGGGGTCATGGAAGGCGCTAGTTACCAATGATTTATTTCAGTTATTGGCATTACGAACATCATGATGATTTTCATAGAAATTTGTTTTGGGGTTATTTCGAATGCTGATCACAATTATAGTGCCCACTTTGTTCACTACTTTCCCACAGTGGGGTCACGGTAGCAGTACGGTAGAATTTTAAAAATCAAAAAACTGATGTAAGAAGTCAGTATCAAAACTTGGGACGATTATTTTCGTAATCAATGCTACAAAACCTATATGTGTTAGATTTTAGCTTCCTGGGGTGAACAACGCAAAAATCAATAAAATCGATAATTTTGATGGGCTAACATCAGTTCCTTGCCCGCCCCTTTCTCGTTCATGTACAGTTGAAATTCCAAAACAACATCATTCTGCGGAGAAATTGAACCAAAGTCTGTGATTTATCTCTATATACGGTATACCTACCGTAACTTTTGCACTACATTACAGCATCCCGATACTGGATCCTAATCAAGTGCCAGAACCTCGCGAATTTCCATCGAGAACTGGCAAAGCTA